ACCTCAGTGAAATGTAGGCCAGAGCTGGTTGTTTTTTAAAGCCTCCCTCCCTCCCTCCCCCATCCGACACCCATCCCTCCCCCCCTGAACCTGCTGCCTGCCTGACACATGAGAGCTTGCTCCTCCTTTTAAGGCTCTGGTAGGTTCGGTATTTGGAGCGCCTTCAGGATGCAAGTTCATAAGAGGAAAGGGTAATAATAGCAGTGTAATAAAAACCAAGCAGGTCCACAATGGCCTCCTTAAGTAAATGAATCCACCCCAAAAAAGTCATTTAGCTGCAGTGAAGTTCGCACACAAACACACAGCAAACAGTGAGATTAGATGGAATAAGAAGGAACATACCAGGTAATAACTTGTTGCTGATGGTCAAAGCGCTCCAGGCGGGTTCCCCTTCACAGAACAGGAGAGAACATGGATTCAATATCAAACTTTATTCGACAAAGAACTCAAATATGATCGTTCAGTAATGCCTTATTGCAGATAAATGACAGGGCAGAGTGTGTTTTGAAGCCGCAGGGAGTAGAATCAGTGCGAGGCTAACACTTAGCTGGTGCTTTAATGCTGCACTCAGAAACAACAACCCCACCCTGAGCTCTCCAAACAAACTGATCTCTGGCTTCCCAATGTTTGGGGGGTTCTGCATTCGACAGCAGCTGCCTCCCTGACGCCGGTGCCAGCTTCCCCTGCGCTCTATCTGGAGAATAAAAGGTGTAATTATGGCGTGTTTACCTGTGCGACTGCTGCTCGGGGGGCGGCCGGCCGGCTGCTGCCTGCTTGTCCCAGCCCGGAGTGTCAGAGCGGCAGGTTCATGTTGAGCCCAACTCGACCCCCCTTCCTACAAATGGAAGCAACAGACGCCATGGCAGTCCAAAAATAAATCCTGAGCCCTGTGAGCTGCTCCGAGTGACAGCAGTGTCGTCGTGACAGCAGAGCGAGACGCAGCGCGGAGAGGCCACGGCACCTTAGGTTTCACCACCTCTCAGCTCTAAACGTGGGGTCCGAGGGCCACCCAGGGGTCCTTCAAAGATGTGCTAGCGAGCCGGTAGGGGGCTCCACAAAAATTAGATTGGGTAAAATTTTAATTCTGTAGGAGATTTGGGACTTTAAAAGGGTTCCCACTCTTTAGGGGTCTTTCAAGGAGGTCCAAGGATATTTATCTGGGTTCTTGGTGGCGCTCTTAGGTGCCACTAACAGGGAACTGGCTAAATTCTGGTTCAGGCACTGAGATTTGATCCGTTCGGAGCATTATGACTTCATTTATTCAGAACCCTAAAAGTTTGTTTCCAGCTGGAACCACAACATAGCAGGTTTTTCTTGGGACCCAAAATTTTAAATACTCCCTATTTATCTGAGTTCTTGGTGGTGTAGACAGGGAACCGGCTACATTCTGGTTCAAGTTTTGAACCATTTCGACTATTTCGACCAAAAATAATTTTGTTTGGAACCCGAAAAGTTGTTTTTCAGCTGGAACCATAAAATATCCAGTTTTCCTTTGTGGGCGTGTCATCTTCATATATTATTTTAATATATTGTGAAACACCCTCTCCTGATGATGAATCTGATTTCAATGGTTCCACTCAAACCTGCTGGAAATGCGGGCAGGTTCGCTAGATAGTAAAGTTCGAAGAATCCTGAAATCTGTTTACGTCTAAGTCCGATATGACCTGAAAGCAGCATAAAGGTCATGAACAGGCTCCTCAGTATCCTTTAGAGCAGTGGTGGAGTCTAAGACCCCCAAATTGATACACATCAGACCAGTATTTGATAAGATGTGGAAAATCAGTCTGATAATATCTAGTTGTTCCATACAGTAACTGTATATAGTGACGTTTATGAACTCTATGAACAGAATACTCAATCTTACACACTCTCTGATTGGAATAACCCCCCCAGGACCCCTTCTAGGACCCCATGTTGAGAACCACCAATGAGAGTTTCTTTTTGTTTTTGGAGGGGAGATTAAAAGAATTCAAGACTTTAAGCTCTTGTGGGGTTTTCAGGGTTCATCAGGGGTGTCCTGATGCCTCATATTAAAGTCGTAATTATTACTTTTTGACTTCTAAATTACCTTCACATCAACATCAAAGTGGTAAATACACCTAAAAGCTCTGATATATCTATCCTGGCACTTAATATCTAAACAAATATGGATGCTTGACATCAGCCAAAATCCACTGTTGTCTGTGCATTTAAACCCACATTTAAAGGTGTAACCTTGTGGTACTCTTACTCTTATTCTTTGGGGTATTCATAGAATATTTGAGGGGACTCTATGGGTTCTTTGTGAGGTTCTAGGGTTCCTTAAGGCAGTTTCAGAGGTGCTCATAAAACTAATTTGTCACTAGAAACATCTGTATTTGAACTGAACTGCGTCTATGGCACCCAGTGATCCAAGATCCAGGAATCTTTATGAGATGTTGTAAAGGCAATGGGGGATTGAAGGGGTTCTTGAGGGGGGATTCAGAGGTGGGTCTGGCTTTCCAGAAGTTTTGAAGGTCTTTATGAGGAGTCTTTGAGAGAGTCCCAGGGCATCCTTAAGAGGGTGTACATGACCCTTGAAAGAAGAACCAGAACCGGGGTGCTGGTAGTTGTCAATAGTCCCTTTTGTTCTATACGTCCTTGTAGGGGGGGTTATGTGGTCCTTGAGATGTTCCAGCAGATCTACAAAGGGTTTTAGAGATCCGTCATGGGGTTATAAGGATCTATGGGGGTTCTGAATGATCCTTTATGAGGTCACTGACAATATGTCCTGTGCTTAGATGGGGTTTTCTGGTGTTTCTGGAGGTCCCAAGAGATGATTGGGCTTAGTGTGATTCAGGAGAGCTTTTAGGAGGTCTTGAGGGAGTTCCAGGTCTACTCAAGAGGATTTAAGGGGTCATTTATGGGGTTAAATGGCGTCACAGCAGGTTTGAATATTTTCTGATGGCCTAACAGTCTTAGACAGGATCATCCTTAATGGGATTCCAGTAGTATTTGAGGTCATAGTCATTTTTGGGGGTTCTTGAAAATATTGTAGTTTTCTTTACTTAATTTGATTCCCATCCTGATGATCCTAATTAGACATTAAAACAAATGTTTGTGGTTTCTTTCACTGATCATCCCAACAGTGTTGACAGGTCAGTTCAACTGTAACAACAATCAACAGCAACTGGAGGTCCTCGGCCTGAGGTTTACATTTGACACTCCCACATGTGGAAGACCAAGAGTCTGGGTTCTGTATTGTGTCATTGCAGTGCCCCCTGGAGGAAATCTGAAGATCCTTCAGGATCCCCGAGACCACTGAGACTGACACCTGTATCCCAGATCTGGCTTATAAATCAAGCTGGGGAGGTTGCTGAATGATTCTTGCTGCAGCTTGTTGAGACTTGAACTGAAAGACATTACTAACAGATAAAACTGATCCTGGAGGGGATTTCAGTGAGCTAGGTAGTTGATTAAACACAACAAAAAAAGATTAATACTAAATGTTCCACAGGGCATTTAAAAGGACAAACATTCATTAGTATAGACTTCATATATTAGATAACAGACACAGATAAGTTTACATTTTTACTTCTATGGATCACAATGTGAGGAAAATCAAGCACATACAGGTCAAAATGTTCACATTTATATCAAATAATTCTTATTTGATGGTTTAATTTCGTCTTATTGAAGCATATTTTCCCTTAAATTTAGCCTAAAATGAGGAAATATGTTTGTGTCGCGTCTCAGCTGTTATGTAACATTAATTTTTGTTGTTTTCTAGGGCCTGAATGCATTAAAACATAAACTACTTTTGCCCTTCTGGCTGATTCTTTGTTTAGAAGGATGGCTTGAAAACATTAAGGGGTTTATAGCTCACAAACTTATTCAGGTTTTCCTGCTCCTGTTGTACATTATGTTTGTGTCCCAAGAACACCACCTGCCTCCCTTTCTTGACGTCCAACTCTCCCTCTCACTCTCAGATGAAATTTGCTTGCCTAATGCAGCTGCCCCCAGAATAGCAACCTGGGGGCATCTTGGCTGCCCCTTTCCCTAAACTTGAGCCTCCCTCCTTAGCCTCAACCCTTCCATCTCCTTTTTGAGTGCCAGGAGTGGGAGTGGGGGGCCGATGCCATGGACCCTGCCCCACCACGGGCCCGGCCTTGCCTCCAAGCCGGCGCCTCGGCCAATGGGGAGGCCGAGCGGATCGTGTGTCACTATAACAGAAGGACATAATCAGCGCGGTAAGTTTGCAGAACCTTACAGCCTGTCTCGGCCAGCAGGAAGCTCGCTTCTTTCAACTTTTCTGAGGTAAGAGAGTGAGAGAGTGTGAGTGCAATGTTCCCCCAAACATCACCCAAACTGAGGACAGCTGAAGTCCACATGTGTTAAAATCACTTGCCACGACTAGTAGAGGCTTGCTGCTGAAGGGTCAAAGGCGAGACGGGAGCAGTTTTGTTGAAATACCGGACAGATAGCGGATCCCGGAGGAAGCACATGTGATGCTTTTAGCTCAGTGAAATCTAGTTTGCGTTGATGTTTGATTGCAGCTGATGATTTGTTGGGTTTTCTTGTGTTGTATCTTAAATGTAAGCGGAGAAATTTGTTTGTTTTTGGAGTTTAAAATCATGTAAAAACCTTCATCATGGGGGGGTTGAATGTGAAGTTCTTGCAGGTCATCCGGCGCTTTCTTAAAGAAGACTCTGTTGTTGTTGTTTCTGTGCCGGGTTGGTCAGAGTCCAGTGACCCGGCGGACGTTCATACCTGAGGGATTTACAGATGGCTTAAAGCCTTTGAAGCAGCTTTCCGCTCCCAGGGACAGAAGATGACACTAATGAGTTACATAACCTTGTGAGAACGGCCGCCGATTGATCGTCTTATTTTTGAGACTTTCTGTGCGTTTGGACTGAACTTGGCCTTACATGTTATAAATTGTTTGGTCCATTAGCGAAGCTGTAAATGGGCGTGGCATGTGCGTACATTCAACCGCACATAGCTTGAGGATAAACACTTTAACATCCTGAACAGGAGCCAAGAAACCTTGACTACCAGACTGGATGCAACCGGTGCAACCATCTTGGTATTTGAAAACAAATTTGTTCGAGAATTTACAGGGTTCAGAGAACAAATTTGAAGGAAGCCGAGTGTTAGACCTTTAACCTTCCCGGCTCGCTTTAGGGTTTATTTTAATTCTTAAAGTGGCCTCAGTCAGCAGGCAGCCTCTGGAAGATGATTGAAAGAACCATGTGAGAGCGAGACGACCAGATAAGGCGATGAAGGTGGAATTAGGGGTGGTGGTTCAGGGGGCAAGGAACCCAATCTTCAACATCGGGTCCACTGAAATCGGATCTGGGACCTGTGCAGCTGTCTGATGGAAATAGTTGTGCGATGTCGGGACGCCTTCATGGTGGCCTAATGAGGCTAATGGGCAACTAATCCGACATCTAACCACTGAGAAGTTAAATTATGTATAAATCCAAGTCACGTGTGTTACAAAAGGTTAAATTTAAGACTTTTTAAGAAGGTTATTGATGCAGTTTAAGGTATTTTACATCCATACTGGCAGAGAAAAGCTCAAAGAATCTGAAGGTATTGGTTTGGTTTTGTAGTTACAGCAAGTTTTACCCAAAATACACATTTAAAAGCAGGACTGAAAGTTATTAATCACCTGTTTTAAGACATTTTTGGATCAAATTATTGGATTTAAGACCTTTTTAAGACCCCTGCTATCACTCAGCTTTATTTACAGCAGGATTGTATGTTGAAGATGATTTGACAGACTTTGCTAGAAGCTATTAAGATGTGTTTCTAAAGATAAAAAGTCTTTATTGCCTATATTAAGCCAAATGGATGCATAGTGATAAAAGAGGGCAGGAGGTTGAGCTTTGCCCCCCCTGGAGGATCGCTCCAAACATTAATCTCCTCTCTCTGCGGTTGAAAACATACCACTCACATAAATCTAAGTTTGGCTCTCTTCTCAATTATCATTGGGGAAGCAGATTCAAGACTTGAGGCTCGAATTTCAGTCCGAAGGCTAATTATAAACCCAAGATTTTATGTTTTCTGATGGATTTTGGGGGAATGTTTCGAATACAAGACCAACAAAAAACATCTCAAATGATGAGAAACTACATTTTTTTTAATCTAATCTGTATTTTTTTTTTAGGTGGGTGTGAAATATGTAGGCAAGCAGGTGTCGGTCGGGGTGGGGCAGCAGATATTTAAGACATCTGCAATTTAATCCTGAGCTATAAATACAGCTCAGATGCTCCTTGCAGACTGACTCCTCTCTTCTCTCTCTCGCCTCCAGGTTGCAAAGTCCACTCTCACCATGTCTGACACTGAGGAAGTGTAAGTCACATTTTCATTCACAAACCTTTTTAAAACCTCGGGGTGGATAGTTTGACTAAATTAATCTGAACTCAAGGTCAAGACGTATTGGCAACACTTAAATAAACGGATTGGTTGGGTTATGTTGACGTTAATAATCTAGGAAAAAACTAGTTGGAACAGAGTTGAAAGCTCTGGAAGAAGCGGGACCTTGAGTTAGGATTATTTTTATCAACAATGATAAATGTACATTAAATGTTAATTATCTTTAACTCTAAATCAGAATTTCTTTCCGTTTTGTGTTGCAGTGATCAGGTCGAGGGTAAGTAGCACCATTTTCCCCCGATTAAAAAACCCCAATAATTAGGTTTTAGGTACAGTCCGGAGTTCCATGCTAAATCCAAGTATTATTTCTTGCCTAACTGATTTTCCATCCCCCTCCTCCTCCTTTTATAGAGAATTTATTTGCACTGGACAAATTCATATGTTTTTGCAAGTTTGGCTTGACTCCTCCAGATTCAAGCTGTGCAACGAAATGCTCTCTCTCTCTTTTTTTAAGCCAAATATTACCCTCCTTTATGCTGTGGCATGGTTGCAGGCACCGCTGGCTGGCATCAGGACAGTGTCGACGGATAAATACAAAAATAAAAATTTGCACAAAGCCCCCCGAAAGCACTGACCTGTTGGCAACAAGTCCTGCAGCTCTGCATGATCACCTGCAAACTGAACAGTCCTCCTGAGCCGAACTCTCGGGGTTAAAGCGCGACGCTCGGCCCAGGAGGACTGTGTTGTGTTATGCTTAGCATGGATCCCCAGTGTACCCACATTTTGTATTTCTGTCAAAAATGGGTACAAACGGGATCTTTTTGATAATGTTCTTCTACTCCTTTCTTTCTCGGACGGACGTGAAGAATACGATGGTAAGATGCAGACTCAAGATGATATAAAAAAATGTCATTGATACTAATTAATCGGGGTTCTTACTTCCACATGTACTTATTTTTTAATTTTTTTGTGGCATGCTGCACTAACATTATTTAAAAAGATATATATATATATATATAAAAACACAGGTTATAAATAAGGATTAGAAGGAGATTGCGTCAGGTTAGAGTTTGTCTCTCTTTGTCTTCCACCACACTGAGGCAGGTATCAGGAATCAATCACCCATCATTCATCCATCAATCAATGAACTCACCTTTTCCTTTCTGTAACTGCTTGCTGTCTCACCTGCTTTAGCACCATCCGGTGGCAGTTACCCCAAACTGCCTCCCCCCGTTTCATGAACATCCTCATATCTCCCCCTTTCATTACTCACCCCCGACCACCTCTTTCCTCTTTCCCCCCTTTTTCTCCCGCTTCCATTAACCCTCTCACCGCCCTTCCTCTCCCCCGGTGACTCGCTGCATGTTGTGTAGCCGTAGAAGAGGAGGTAGTAGAGGAAGTAGAGGTGGCCCCTGAGGCGGCCCCTGAGGCAGAGCCAGAGCCAGAGCCAGAACCAGAACCAGAGCCAGAGCCAGAGCCTGAGCTTGAAGGTATGTGGCATGGAGGGGGGAAGGGGGTATTCTATCATCCTTTCCCAGGCGATAGTTGCGCTCCACGAGTTCCCAGACAGACCCCACTAATCCTGATCCGCACACATGTTCATCATGTCTGCTAAAGCTAATGCTAACGCTACCTTCCTTTCACCTCTGGACAAAGTCAGAGAAGCACTCAAAGGGCGCCAGTTGGGATTATATATATATATATTAATATAATAAACATATGTTGATATGTTTAGACGATCTTTCTTCATTTACTGTATGACTAATATTTAAAGGCTGATATTTCTGCACTAAAGCTCATGTTTTAGGCTGATATAAAGAGTCCTGCCCCTCATCCAGGTCAGTGTCTGCTCTGTTAGCTTACCGCTGTCCAACATTGTCTGGTAAAAACATAAATTAATTCTGTTGATTCATCAAACATTATTTATGTAAAGGTGAGACTTTAATAGATAGTAAAAACTCTCAGATTACCTAGATCTGTTCAGTGTTAGAGCTAATCCGTTAGCATACAGTACAAAACAGTAGGTAGGTTATATTATATATTAGTATACTACAGTATAAATCCTAATAAAACATTTATTTATCTATTCTGCATTTCTGAAAATGCAAAAAATGTATATATCTAGTTTAGCTTTTTTTTTTACTACAAATATGTTAAAATGTTAGTATTCATAGTGGACAAAACTATCGATTGCAAATGAAATGTTCTTAAAAGATCAATATTGGCCCGTTTTATGAGTCTAACCTTAGTTGTACCACATGTACTCTAAGTACTCGTACCAGTTTTTTATTATTTAAATATTTAATGAAGGTAAACATTAGATACTGTGAATAGTGTTTTTTTAGGGGAATAACATTTATCGCTGAGCATGAAAATAAACCATTTAATCAACAAGAAAAGAAAAAGATTTCATCTTTTTCAAAGGATATCAGTGTCTCATATTCAGTGATGCATTTACTTACTATTTTGTTATTATAATGAAACTCTATAAAAGAAACTGGGCTTTTAATTTAATGCCATTTTATTTATGATTAATGATTTAATCCCAAACCTCTGGAAAGCTTCACATTTACTGCTAAATACGCTGTTATTTTCTAACTAAATCTGTTTCTAAAATTTCCAGTAACACATGAACACAGGCATTAAATCATTAATCATAAATAATTAATTAATGTTAACGAATTAAACTGTCTTGAGCTGCTTGAAGGTGAAACTGCGGCTTCAATAATTGTGCATCGTAAATTCTCAAATACTGGCCTTTATTTATATATATATATATTTAATCTTATATTGTTATTATTATTTTAAGACTTTTTTAGCTAATTTGAGAAATTATATTTAATTACTTTATAATGTTTAATGTTTAATAATGTTCAGGCTTCATGTTTTATTAGTAACTTTTGTTTTTATTAGTAATTTTATGAAGAAAATAGACAAACTTCCTTAAATTCCTAAAGGAAATCCTAAACATTTTTTTTTTATAAAATTGGGACTTTAACTGTATACTTCATATAATGAAATTAATATAACAAATGAATTAGTTACTTAAACTCAAAAATATTTTTTAAACTGATAAATTTAAGATTTTAAGTAACGCAAACTTTTGTAAGTAAAAAAAAGATTGATTGATTATTGATGAAGCAGCTTTTAATTGTAATTTTAAATGACAGAAACATCCTGATTAAGTATTTTTTACAAGTTTTTTTTGTTTTCACAAAACAAAATTAAGTTAATTTAATTAGTAACATCCTAGCTTTAGTTTATAAGATTATCCTCCTTTTATACTTTATGCTAATTTTAAAAACCTATTTAACAACAATTGAAAACTCACAAATCACAAATTAGCAAAAACATTCAAGTTCTTTTAACTGATTACATTTAATATATTAAATGTAATCAGTTAAAATAATAGATAATCCTATAAACCAAAGATAGGATGTTAATCAGGTTAATTATGTAAATTAAATTTAAAATGCACCTTTATCTGTGCTGGCTGTTAATATTTGAGACTCTGCTGTTATTTGAGGATTTTCGGTGCTTTTTAAAAAGTAGTTTTAGTAGTTTTCTTTACTGTGTTTAGCTGATTTTGCTGCTTGCTAACACTGTTGTCTATTCTGCTTTTGTTTTGGATGCTTGCTGCATGCAGAGGCCATTGAAGAGGAAGGTATGTTGATTTTAATAAAAAAAAAAATTAATTAAAACAAATCTGAAATCTGTCATTCTGGTTTTGGAGAGACCAGGTCCAGGTCCAGGTCTGACGTCTGATCTCTGGGGGGTTGTGGGGGGGTGGGGAGGGAAGGGGG